CCATGACTGCCCCCAAGCTAAACAAGTTCACCTCATCACCACACAATTTGAAGGATATGCTCGAACTTGGTGGATGCAAACAAGGAAAAAGATCCAGAACTTCCAAATTCCAACAATCACTTCTTGGACCGACCTCAAGCAAACCATGAGGAAGCGATTCCTACCGACACATTATACACGAGAAGTTAAACTACGACTAGACCGACTTCGACAATGTAGAAGTTCAGTTGAAGAGTACTATAAGGATAGGGATGGCAAACGGGCGGGTCGGGTGCGGATACCCCCTCCCCCATCCCCATACCCACCTAATATTTTTCAATCCACCACCCGCCCACCACCCATGATGGGTACAAATTTTCAAATCCACACCCGCCTACGCGGGTACATTCTCAAATACATCCCCACACCCACTACCCACTAGCGACGTACCCGTCTAGACCCGCCTGACAGCAAACTTAAGTTATACATAAGCAACAAACATAAAACAAACATGTCCATTAAGAAACATAATAAAATAATCCAAGGATTATCAAAGTTAAGTGTTAATATAGATCTTAAAATACACAAAACACCATAATAAAAGACATAATTAAAGTCTAGAAACATAAATGACAAACACATAATGTTTTTGTTCTTTGGCACAACATTCTAAAATTTCAGGCAATATTTGTGACATATAATACTCCAGTATTACAATCATCATTCTCTATTTCCTCCAACTGAGAGCGCTCCAATTTAAATTCACTACTACCTACATATATAATAGAAAGTAAAACTAATATAAGTTAGTAACTAAACTTTAATAAGATAATTAAGCACAATTTGACAACTAATATAAACTAAATAATAATATTACCTTTAATATCGGCCCAAAGCCAATTTTGAGCATACATTAATGCTTCAATCGTCTCCGGAAGTAGTCGACTACAATAAGGACCAATTACTCTTCCACCTATACTGAATGCAGATTTTGATGGGACAGTGGAGACAGGAATGCCCAAAATATCTTTTGCTATTTGTTGGAGAGTTAGATAAATTACATGTTATATCTTATACAATATTAGAATTTATAAATTAGTCTCTAAAATTACACCTAAATTCATAATGGTCCAAAATTTAATGGATATTTAGCTAGGTGGGCGGATGTGGGGCGAGCGGATGCGGGGCGGGCGGATGCGGGGCGGATGTGGGGCGGGTAATGTCTCAAACCCATTACCCGCCCACCACCCGCGACGGGTACCACTTTCTAAATTCACACCCGCCCACTACTCGCTAAAATTATACCTATCCCCGCCCCAATTGGAGCGGATGCGGTGCAAAATCCACGAAACTGTACCCATTTGCCATCCCTATATAAGGAGATGCAGTCCTTACTAAATAGGGCTAACATAACCGAAAAAGAAGATGTCACCGTGTCAAGATTCATCGTCGGTTTAAACTCAAACATCATTGATCTTCTTGATCTACAAGGGTACGAAAACCTTGAAGACGCACTAAAGAAAGCAATGACAATCGAAGCACAAATCCAAAAGAGATATCGATTCAGTGAACATTACCAAGGTACTTCATCCTCTTACCAAGGTAATCCTTTAAATCCTTCCTCATCTTCTACTCCATCTTCGCTAAAAATCCAAGAGATGACAAACCTGACAAGGAGAAAGAACGACCAGCAAAGAATGACACATTTCCAGTCCCTAAAGATCAAATGATAATTTGTGAGGAGGTACGGAAAGCAAAAAAAGAAAAAGTTGAGAAAGAGGCAAAAGCAAAAGAGGTCACTAGTTATAAAAGCCAAAAGAATAATGACCCATGGGAGATGAGTGAACCTAAATGTGAGAAGAAAAGAGTGACTCAAAATCTATATGTGAGCACAAAAGAATTGAGACAAAACCTTCTTTACAAACAGCCTTGCATCCTTTTTCACTTTAGGGAATCAATTGTTTCGATTTCTAACATTAACAAGGATTTTCCTAGTGTGTTTTCTTCTCTTTTACAGGATTTTCGAGAAGTGTTAGGTGATCTACCTAACGAACTGCCACTGAAAAGAGGAAAACAACGCCAAACTAATCTAATTCAAGGTTTCATCATACCTCGTCAAACATACAATCTCAAAGAAACCAAAGAGTTGGATTTGTTACAAAAAGGTTACATCCAGGAAAGCCTAAGTCGTGACGCCATCTTAATGACGAAATATGATTTGAACAACTCTACAGGCTTTATAGTTCGTGCACAGGAAATCCATGTAAATGATGAAATAGTAAAAGCAACACGAGACTAGGCCACACCATCTTCCATAGCCAAGAGTTGTCGAATAATATTAGGTGACCCTCCTGACGAGTTACCACCTGAAAGCCCTAATCACTATGCCATATCAATGAAGAGTCACGATTTACGGGAGTCCAAAGGTAAGTATTTTAATACTCATTTTAATGACATTGTAACATACTTCTTCTCCTTCTTACAAGGTAAGGCTCGTGAAGTTGTCATCCATACTAAACACAACTCCTTTAAGTGCGTAGCTGACCGAGGTAAGCAAAACACATTAGACGATGCACTACCACGAAGGTATACTCTTAAGCATGCTACTATTCCAAGAATTGAACATATAAAAGATGTATATCACAATAACTCGGATATTTCTTATATTTCTACCCATACTTTTAAAAGTACTTTTAATGAGTTTTATCTTGTATATGAGTTTCCTTGCCAACTAAACAGGTTCTACAATCCACAAATCTCCTGCCGAGAATTATTAATTCATGAACTACACTTAGGAGACTTAAGGGATTACTTTAACAAACCAGTTGACATGGTTTTTAAACACTCATTCTCACCACACATGAATAAAACCATGGAGAAATTATCTGAAGCAATCATACAGAAAGCAAACAGTGGTCGACACCATGTTGAATTTCAACCTAAATATCAGATTACAAGACTTGTATGCAAAAGAGGATTCAAGACTACAAGAAATCAGTTCCTACAAAGAAGAAACCTCGACTGAAAAGCATAAAGACACATCACATTGATCCTGGTAAATGTTTCACAAGTTTTCCTTTCAACACATCTAAGTCTATTTCTCTTGGATTTTTAGATTCGAGGACGAATCCTTTTGAGGAGTGGGGGAATGATACATGCACCAGAGTCCATAATACATACTTCTTTGGACTAATGTTTCTACTCGAACCTATTAGAAGAACAAAGTCTCGAAGATTCATAGCATATCTATTCGGTAAGTATAATGTGAATGAATCATTAAACGATTCTAATGTTGCTCCCTTTAATGTTTCAGATTTGAGGTCGAATCTTTTTGAAGAAAGGGAGGATGATACATGCATCACAAGGCTCATATCAAAAGAAGAAGTAATAACTCTTCCAAATGATCCACTCGTCCAAGCATTGGAAAAGAAGATCAGAACAGAAGCAGACTTACGACGACTTTTTAATGGGATCCTGATCTTATTTAGCCAAGATGTCTTCTTGAGATACGACCGTCTATCTCTTATCTTTCCAACGGTTCTTGAATCGCATCAATCCGATATCGGAAACTCAAGATATGGCTATTTTACTGAAGACGGTGCATGCAGAAAATCCTATATGGGATTTTGTAAATATTACGAATTTTCAATATTTTTATTGATTATTTGTAATATAACTTAATATAGGATGATGCATTATCTTTTAGGATTAGATTTATTATTTTATTAGGAATTAAGGTTGGTTTAAAAATATTATCTTTAGTTATTATTATTTTATTAGGAATTAGAGTTAAAATATGTTTGGTTTATTATTATTTTATTCATTAGTTATTTAGGACCTTTAGAACTCAGCCCATATATAAAGGAGGCTTCATTAAACTTTGTAAATCAAGATTTCTTTGATTAATAATACAATGAGAGTTCGTTTTTGCAAGTGTTGATTGCCTTGTGCCTTCGAAGCTTCTTCTCCTGGAGTTCTTTCAAGTTCTTGTGAGGGAGATTAATCTTCACACTCCAATTTGCCTTTTCATTGTGACTAGGAGGGTTGTTTAGAGCCATATTATCGTGTTTGCATTTTCATTGCGACTAGGAGGGCTCGATAGGACATTATCTATCGATTTTCCACATATCCATCCACGCCATCAATCATCTTTACTGTTCACTTTCATAAGGGAGATCTTTTGATTTCTTGGTTATTTTCTTTATTTTCAATTCCTTTATATTTTATTTATCTTGTTTCTAATCTTGTTTCCAGCACCTAAACGAAACCCTAAAAAACCCTAGCTATTGCCGCCACCTTCTCTATTTATTCCTTATTGTTCTTCAACAAGAGCAACGTTCATTAACCCGTCACCGCTTCCCTATCATTAGTTTAATAGCTATTCGTTTTTCTTTTAATCACTTACATTTTGTTTAAAAATAAAATGACAATGTTTTTTATTTAATGATCAGAATGAGTGGGTTTGGTGCTAAAAAGATAATGTTTTCCTTCTTAATAGATCTCGACTTAGAACAGCAGTGTAGGATGTCTATACTGCGAATGAAATTAGCCAAATTAGCCAGGGAATACTCGAATTTATTTATTGATTGATTGAAGGAAAATTCAAATAAAGAACACATTTAGGGTGGGACGAAATTAAACACATAAGACAATTATGGCTTACTCTATGAACGACATTTATGTCTTTTTAGAGGGCAGGACACAGCCGGCAGCCTGTTAAAATACAGTTGTTGACATTGTAAACGTTCTTTTCAACAGATAACCTGTAGCCATTGTCTGCTAGTTCCCATTTACGCCTGCAAAACAATGAATCTATTAAACCCATTGAATTTTGTCAAAAGCTTAACGCTTCGGCATATTATTCTATGCTTTCAGTTCATAATTGACAACCGAAACTGCCAAGTCGAATTGAATTTCTTTTCTGAAAGTTTAGTTTCAATTCACAAGTCATCGTTATAGTAGTATTTTCTTGAAGCATCTTTAAATATGCTTTATTGAAACAGACCATAGCATTATACGGACGAATCATTCCCTGTTTCAACAGACAATGGCTTCTTTCTCGATAAAAGATTTTGTTGGTGATGGGGTTCTCAAGGAATTGCTTCCAAAGCTTTTGGAAGAAGGTTGGGATGACGTCCCAACTTTAAAGATCATGAATTCAGATGACATGGATGCGATCAACATGACACAGAATCAAAAGGTAAATAAATATAAATTTGTCACCTGGTATTTCATATGTTCATCACCTGGAAATCAGATGGTTTGTTCCTACTGTTGTTCAGGATGCTCTGGAAATCAGAACCTACCTTCATGATCGTGCTTTGATGCAGTATGGAGATAAGCTAGAGGCCTCTAAGAAATGCCTACCCGAGCTCCTTAACTTGCGCACAGAGGAGCTATCTTCTCGATTCAACATGAAAAGGGGACATATTGCACGTTTCACAGATAGAGGCAACGCATGCACGGATCCTCTACCGAAATCTTACGGCCTCGCCGCGAGGCAGAACACGGCTATACCGTCTAGAAATAACACCATTCTTAAGATTCAATCCATAGCAAAGTCCTTTAGCAGGAGTAGCACATACAATAACAGGTCGCTGGAAGAATCACTGGCCGACTTCAAGATTAAAGATGGATACATCTTTAAAGGGATTGTTGCTGCCAGACCGGCCGAGGCTCGAGCCTGTGGTTGCGTACAACCTCCTCCGGTGGTTGACAGCGTGGCGCCTTATGCTACTATTGAAAACATATCGGTTCAGAGATTAACTCCTGTGTATAAGATTGGGATGGAGCCCTTGGTGAAATCCAAGACTCCACCTATGAAAGCTTCGGAACTGTGGCGGTATAAGCCGACTGTTCTCCTATGCATTCGACGGCCAGGGTAAAGTATCAAAACTAACAACATAGAAACCATGTTTTATCATCTGAAGTATGAAATTGATTGGCTTTTCTGTCTACATTTGTATGATAACAGGTGCATCATGTGCAGAGCTGAAGCTCACCAGCTCTATGCCAAAAAGCCAATATTTGATGCATTGGGAATCCAAATGCTTGCAGTTCTTCATGAACATATAGAATCAGAAGTGGGTTGTATACTCTTTTTCAAAAATATTTCTCCAATAAACTTCCTTTTTCCTCAGATATATCAAGTTTTGAAGCAGGTAAAAGACTTCTGGCCACGCTATTGGGGTGGAGTTGTGATCTTGGATCGTACAATGGGATTCTTCAAAGCTCTTGGAGGTGGGAAATTACTTAAGACAAGTTTCTATCAGGATTTTTATTCAATCCACGGGCTATCGCAAACTATAAACGTGCAAAAGCTATGGGAATAGACCAGAATCTTAAAGGAGAAGGTGAAATCAAGGGTGGCCTTTTTATAGTTGGTCAAGGAGGAACTGGAATAGCTTACCAGTTTATAGAGAGGAATTTTGGTGATTGGGCTCCTGTAGCTGAAGTTGTAGAGATATGTGCTAGGTTACAGGTAATGTTTTTTATCTCTGTAATTCCAAATTGATTATTATCATCCAATTATTGCAAACCAACCTTTTCTTCAACACGTTGCAGAATCAACAGCATGATCAAGGAGATTCTAGCAAATCACCAGAAGAATGATCTTCACAAAATAGATTTACATCTCATATCTTCGGGAGTATCAGAGACTTGTATGTCAAATTCAATGTTAAATTTAAATGAGGACAAGACAGGTAAAGGATAAGACACTCCAATTGTTTATTCGGACATCTTTCCATGATTTCTTGTCCCCTGCAATGCTACAGATATCTATGGGGGGGGGGGACTACTTATTAAAGGAATCAATCTTCTGATAAATTCGAGTGTTTCAATTTGGTCATATATGCAATAATTGTTAGGAAAATAAACCGAGTACAAGTAATTTCTCTATAACCAGATTAGTGAGAATGCAAAATAAAAGCGAAAAAATAATACCCGAAAATTGATAACGGAGTTCAGCCAATTGTGCTTACGTCTCCGGGCTGCTGCAAATCTTTTACTAAGAGAGAAAATTTACAGGTGTTTACAAAACACTCACTACTCACAAGAAAGCTCTCTAGTATAGGAAGAAAGAAATGTTTTGGGATGATTTTGAAGCTAAATGGGTAAGGGTATTTATAGTAGAAACTTAGGGACTAATCTTTGAAAATACCCTAAAGTGCAATGACTAAAGTGAATTTACCCATTCCTATTTTCAACAAACATCTACCAAAATTTTACCAAACTTTGAAAAACATTTTTCAAAGAAACATTTACCAAACTTTGAAAAAAACATTTTCCAAAGTTGGTTGCCAAACTTTGAAACTTTTAACAATCTCCCACTTGAAGACTGATTTTAATATGTCTTCACACCTCGATCAATGCAGCAGCATGCCTGGTCTTGTTATTCTAGCATGCCAACTGAAGTTGAACACAACTTCAGTTTGTCCGTAGTCACCGTCTTTGTCAACATGTCTGCCGGATTTTGAGCTCCACTAATCTTTTCAAGTTTCAAAATCCCATCTTCCAGAAGAGACCGGATAAAATGATATCTCAATTGTATGTGCTTTGTCCTGGAATGAAAAGACGGATTCTTTGCTAGATGGATAGCACTTTGACTGTCGCAATACAAGATATTGTTTTCTTGTTTCTTGCCTAACTCTTCCAAGAAACTTTGGAGCCAAACCATCTCCTTGCTGGCTTCCGTAACAGCGACATATTCTGCTTCAGTTGTGGAGAGAGCAACTATCTTCTGTAGTTGAGAAACCCAACTCACTGCAGTTCCTCCTAGAGTATAGACATACCCTGTAGTGCTCATTCTGATGTCGACATTTCCGGCTAAGTCAACATCTACATAGCCTGTCAGTATCATATCTCCACCTTTGAAACAAAGTGCTTTGTTTGTGGTACCCCGAAGATATCTGAGGATCCATTTGACTGCTTCCCAGTGTACCTTGCCCGGATTATTCATGTACCTGCTAACAGCTCCCACTACATGAGCAATATCTGGTCTGGTACAAACCATGGCATACATCAGACTTCCAATTGCTGAAGCATACGGCACCTTCACCATGTGTGCACGTTCTTCCTCCGTCTTTGGTGATTGGTCTTTGGAGAGTCTGAAATGAACACCTAAAGGTGTACTTACTGGTTTAGCATCTTGCATGTTGAACCTGGAGAGTACTTTGTTGATGTACTCAGCCTGTGATAACATCAAAGTCCCTGACTTTGTGTCTCTCTTGATCCTCATCCCAAGAATCTGCTTTGCAGCGCCCAGATCCTTCATAGCAAACTGCTTCGACAATTTTTGCTTCAAGTGTATAATCTCTTGCATGTCTGAGCCTGCAACGAGCATGTCATCAACGTACAATAATAAAATAATGAAGCTGTTGTCGAACCTCTTGATGTAGCAACAATGATCTGCTTGGCATCTGATAAAACCACTGCTACTCATGAAACTATCGAACTTCTTGTACCACTGTCTAGGAGCTTGTTTTAAACCATACAAGCTCTTCTTCAACCTGCATACCAGGTTTTTCTTGTCTGCCTCTATGAAGCCTTCTGGCTGCCTCATATAGATTTCTTCCTCCAAATCACCATGAAGGAAAGCTGTCTTTACATCTAACTGCTCAAGATGTAAATTTTCTGCAGCTACAATTTTCAACACCAGTCTGATTGTAGACAATTTTACGACTGGAGAGAAAATTTCATTGTAGTCAATACCTTCTTTTTGCTGAAAGCCTTTGACAACCAATCTTGCTTTGTAGCGTTTGCTCCCATCGTGCTCTTCTTTGATCCTGTAAATCCACTTGTTGTGGAGCGCTTTCTTGCCTGGTGGTAATTCAGCTAATTCCCATGTCTGATTTGACATAAGCGAGTCCATCTCATCTTTCATGGAAAACTCCCACTTTACTGAATCCTCCACTTGCATTGCTTCATCATAGCACTCTGGTTCACCATTGTCAGTCAGCAACAAGTAGTGTAAAGAAGGAGAATACCGTTGGGTTGGTTTAGGAATTCTGGAGGAGCGTCTCAGTTCTGGTGTGCCTGGTTCTTCTTGAACTGCTTCAGGATTGATCTGAACATCATTTCCAGAAATCTCCTCGAACTCAGCAAATTCCTTTGTTTCAGCTTCGGTATTACTTGATTCTGCGGTTGACCTATCTTTGTACATCACATTTTCATTGAAAATGACGTCTCTGCTTCTGATGATCTTTCGATTTTCGTAGTTCCAAAACCGATAACCGAACTCATCACCACCGTAACCAACAAAGACGCATTTGTTGGACTTGGCATCAAGTTTACTTCTTTCAGCAGAGTTTATGTGTACATAAGAAATACAACCAAACACTCTTAAGTATGAAAGGTTTATTTCTTTCTTGCTCCAAGCTTCCTCTGGTATTCCGCCATCCAAAGGAACTGAGGGCCCACGGTTGATCAAGTAAGCTGCAGTGTTGATAGCTTCAGCCCATAGAAATTTGGGCAATCCGGCATGTATCCTCATGCTTCTGGCACGTTCATTCAGAGTTCTGTTCATACGCTCTGCTACGCCATTCTGCTGCGGTGTTATGGGAACTGTTGTCTCCATCTTGATCCCATTGTTTGCGCAGAAATCTCTGAATCTACTGTCTCTGTATTCTCCTCCATTGTCAGACCTCAACCGCTTGACTTTCAAACCAGTCTCATTTTCCACCATGGCCTTCCATTTTCTGAAGGTATCAAAGACTTCTGATTTCTTCTTCAGAAAATAAACCCACACCTTCCTTGTTGAATCATCGATGAAGGTGACGTAATATAGTGAGCCCACAAGAGATGGAACTGGGGATGGTCCCCATACATCAGTATGAACCAACTCTAACCTTTCTGCCTTGGGTGTCTTGCCAATCTTTGCAAAACTGACTTTCTTTTGTTTGCCAAAGATGCAATCCTCGCATAGTCCGACATCTACATTCTTTAGATCCGGCAGCTTCCCTTTTGATAGAAGTATCTTCATTCCTTTCTCGCTCATATGGCCAAGCCTTTGGTGCCATAGGTTTGATTTTCCATCAGCATCTGCTACTGCAATGATATTCTCTAAATTTAAGGTTACATAGAGAGTACCAGTCTTCTTACCACGAGCAATGACGAGTGCTCCTTTGGTAATCTTCCATTCACAGCCTGAAAAGGTTGTGCTATATCCTTCTCCATCAAGATGTCCAACAGAAATCAGATTTCTTTTGAGGCCAGGAATATGTCTCACTCCTGTCAGCTTCCAGGTGGTCTGGTTTGGCAACTTTAGTCGGATGTCTCCTTTTCCGACGATCTTTAAGGTTTCATCATCAGCAAGATGAACCTTCCCAAAATCACCACTGACATAGTTCTCCATGATTTCTTGGTATGGGGTGGAGTGGAAAGATGCCCCTGAATCCAAGATCCATGATTCAATCGGACTGTTGACGCTTAGAATCATGGCATCACCTGTCTCCTGTCACGTTGGCAGATTCCTGTGCACCGGTATCTTTCTTCAGTGCTCGGCAATCTCTTTTGAAGTGACCCTTCTTGCCGCAATTATAACAGGTAAAATCTTTATTTCCCGTTCTTGATTTGCCCCTTCTGGATTTTGATCTGCCACGATTTGAATTTCTTTCTGAAGTTCTCCCTCTAGACTCGGTGTGCAAGGCTGAGGAGGTTGATGCTTCACCCGATTCTCTTTGTCGAATTTCTTCACTCAATACCAGATCCCGAACATCGTCGAATTTTAATTTGTTGTTTCCCGACGAACTGCTGACTGCTGTAACAGTAGCATTCCAACTGTCTGGTAGAGATGATAAGAGAATTAAAGCTCGAACTTCATCATCGAACTCAATTTCCACTGAACTCAAGTGGGTTGTGATTGTGTTGAGTTCATTTAGGTGTTGTGCCACCGATGCCCCTTCCGCCATCCGCAAATTGAATAATTGCCTCATCAAATGAACTTTGTTTGAGGCCGATGGCTTCTTGTACATACTGGAGAGAGCCGCCATAAGACCCGCCGTGGTCTTTTCCTTTGCTATGTTAAAAGCAACATTGCGGGATAACGTCAGTCGGATAACTCCGAGGGCTTGTCTGTCGAGAAGAGCCCAATCTTCATCCTTCATGCCCTCTGGTTGCTTTCCTGAGAGAGGTTGATATAGATTTTTTTGGTACAAAAAATCTTCAATCTGCATCTTCCAAAAACCAAAGTCCGCACCATCGAACTTTTCAATTTTCACCTTCCCTTCGTCTGCAGCCATCGCTCCCACTCGAATCTGGCTTCGTTTGGATCGTTTCTGACAATTCTTGCGAATCACCGTGTATTAGAACACCACCGTCGACAAACTCGTATCACCGATCGAATTTCACTATTCACGAAATTCACTATTCACGTGAATAGTAATCAATAGTAACCTCGCAGAAAATTTGAAAAATTTCACAACCAAAAGCTCTGATTACCAGTTGTTAGGAAAATAAACCGAGTACAAGTAATTTCCCTATAACCAGATTAGTGAGAATGCAAAATAAAAGCGGAAAAATAATATCCGAAAATTGATAACGGAGTTCAGCCAATTGTGCTTACGTCTCCGGGCTGCTGCAGATCTTTTACTAAGAGAGAAAATTTACAGGTGTTTACAAAACACTCACTACTCACAAGAAGCTCTCTAGTATAGGAAGAAAGAAATGTTTTGGGATGATTTTGAAGCTAAATGGGTAAGGGTATTTATAGTAGAAACTTAGGGACTAATCTTTGAAAATACCCTAAAGTGCAATGACTAAAGTGAATTTACCCATTCCTATTTTCAACAAACATCTACCAAAATTTTACCAAACTTTGAAAAACATTTTTCAAAGAAACATTTACCAAACTTTGAAAAAAAACATTTTCCAAAGTTGGTTGCCAAACTTTGAAACTTTTAACAATAATGTCATGTTGAGGAACATCAGTTTCCATACTTTGTTTCCATCTTAAATCACAGAAGAGATTCATTTAATATACTACTAGATAAAAGCATATAACTCCTATATCACAGAAACTTCCCATATTTAATCTATACATTTTAATCCATCTTACTTCGGACTAGGACACCGATACATTCCCATGATCAAAGGAGTTCCATATCCCTCCATATATCTAATGCTCAAAAAGCATGAAAATGAAATTCATCTCATCATACAATTAAGGTGCTCGACATCCATATATATAATGCTCAAAAAGTATGAAAATGTAATTCATCATACCATACAGTTAAGGAAACCTCGAGCACGATGAGAATATAGTGAAAGCATATGTTTTATAACCTTTGAGAGACCATGCAGTTAAGAAAGCTTGAGCACGGTAGGTAAATGGTGATGGCATATGTTTATACTTTAACCTTCGAAAGAGTGGTTCACATTCCCTTGGTTACCTTCAAGAATGCTGGCATACGTCTGGCAAGCAAATGGGGTTATAATGAATTGCCTCGCATGGAGCCAATGATCCTTAGGAGAAGGATCAAAGTTCTACTTCTGTATTACCGGATGGTTATGGCCCTGCAAAAGAAATAGATAAATTTTAATCAGACCAAAGGACATTTGGCCCATGAGATAGGACATTAATAAAAGCGTGTAATATACATTAAGGATGTCAGAAGGAGCACTGGTTCCATAGTTCATTTGAACAAAATTGTGGAGCTCGTCCTCCCATGGATTCAAGAACTTGAATCAAAATGTATAGAAAGTTAAATTTGTAGTGTTCATGAATCATGATGTTAAGAATATAAAATAGGTTTTTCATATTGGTAACCCTTTAAAAAGATGTTAAAAGAAACCTGATTGGAGTCCTTTAATCCTCCGGTCATCAATGCTAATGAGAACTAAGAGATCTACGAATAACATCTGCGTTATTCCCTGTAACAGGAAGAGCAGCTTGAACAAGTCCAGGTTGAGACGGGTGCAATGAAGGATAACCAACAGATAAAATCAGAAGAAAACCCCAGAGTAGAAGAAGGGCCAACTCGTGATTGAATAATCTGTACATCAATGAAAAAGCTTTTGACGGGTTCGATGAGACACAAGAAGACATGAAGAATTGCTAAAGCTATGCTTGACCAACCTACATCTTTCGTAAGAAGCCCTTCTATATTAAAATCCAGCCTGGGGTTTTGTAGCAAGTTTCATCGAAAGAAACTGCAACAGGGAAGAACGTGATTATACTACCAATTCACAAGGTTGTAACAATATTTACATCAATCCAGAACAAAATTCACTAATTAATTAAACTGAAGAATCAACAATTCATTCATCACCAATTACACTAGATTACTAGGTAACAACAAGGTTGAAAAACCGAAGTTGTAAATTCTGCTCCAATACCTCAACCTGCCGCTGAAGTGACTGCACATAATTGATGATTTCATCTAGCATCACTGTCTTTTCTGTAACCTGAAAGAACCAATGAATTCCCACACAATAAATTACAACATCTATTGTGAATACTGCTGAGAAGTCGATATGGTTGTACTCCCTAAGCATAGGGTCCAAATTATCGCACCTTGCTGCAACCAGGTACAATTTCCAGAAGAAATTTCATCCTTTCACTGATCTTTTCTCTTCTTACCTGAAGTGATAACCAATTAATTCCAATATAAACAAGATGGATGAGCTAATATTTCTATTTCAAAGAGTATTCCATATAAAATTTACCCTTTCCGCAAGACCGTGGCTGTTTGTTGCTTGGCCTCTTCGGGCTCTCACATGGATGTATTCTTCTTTTGGTGGGTGAGAAGCTGGAGACACTTGCTTCCCTGTATTCTTATTGACACTTGTAGTTTGCTTCTGGTCTCCCTTTTGTTGATTTTCAGCACCATCCTTTGCTGCCTCGGTTGGTGGTTGGCCTCCCTTAGCTTGATCAATCTTAGTATCCTGCCATAAACTTAGTAATAAAAACTTCAACTATAAACAAAAGTGTACAATGGATCGAGGAAACAATTGGTGAACAATATTACCTGTAAACTCCTTTCTCTTTTCTTCTAACTAAGACCCTTAGCAGAAGGTTCACCACCTGTACCATCCAATGAAGATGGCTCATCTTGACCTCCTTCACGACTGCTAAACTCAGCTTCGTCGGACTCATTACCAGAACCACCAGTTCCTTGTTTTGCTTCTTCGTGGGCTGGCACAAGACTTCCATTTCTCCTGTCATTCCCCAAAGGGCTTTCTTTAGCCCTACTTTCAACTTGCAAACAAGAATCTCTAGTAGCTTCAGCGACATTCAGAGATTCCACACCGGATACTGATTTCATCTCATTGGCTGAGAACATATGTTCATGTACCGGCAACAATCCCAGACCTCTAGTATAAAGACCCACAGACTCAGGCATACCAAAAAGGCTCACCATATCACTAAAATTCCCCCTATTAAAGCTCGAGAACCTGGCAGCACGCTCAATGAAAGCTGAATCAGCTGGCAACTGTGATAGACTCTGTGGTAGAATCCTATTCGTATTCGGTACAAAAAAGCCCCCTTTCAACGTTTAACTTGCAGTATTCCAACCCATATCAAATGGTCTATCAATGCTACTTCTCAAAGAGGTTAGAGTACCTTTCCCAATTCCCTTTGCATTTGAAGAGCTTGCACCATTTTGTACATTGATGCCACAAAATCCCAAGTCTTGTGAATTAGATGGGTGCTCCCAAAGGTTCGAACCGAATGAGTCTGCCACCGAAGCACATGAAGAACCAATAGCCAACGGATTACTACTAGGAACTAAAGTCATACCAGCACCTGTGAGATTGGCACCACCACATTACCAATCCGATGACAGAACAGACGCATGGTAGTTTATGCTATTCTCATTTCAACCGGTGCTGCTTACTTGTTATGCAATGCTCACACAAAGTAAGTGATACTTTGTTAAGTCTGGAAATAACTTTTGCTCCACAAGGACTTTTATTCCTTGTTCTGACATGTGTCCAAATTTCTGATGCCACAATATTGTAGAATCTGAACTACATGAGGTAACAGAGACTTCTGCTTCTAGCAAAATCTCTCCCTTCAGCATGTACAAGTTTACTGCTATTTTTTCACCTTTCAGCACCACAAGCGCTCTACGAAACACTTCCATGATTCCTTTCCGTGTTTCGACCTTGCTTGCATTATTATCCAACAATCCGTAGGATAATAAATTTTTCTTTAGGCCTTTCACGTGTCGCACATCTCGAACAACTTTAATTGTTCCATCATACATCTTCAATTTGATGGTTCCCACACTAATGATCTCTAAGGCATGATCATTGCAACTATACACAGATCCTCCTGAGACAGATTCATAATGATGGAACCATTCTCTTCTTGAGGTCATATGATATGTTGCTCCCGAATCAATGAGCCATATATATGCATATCTCTTTCTACCTTCCACGGTGGTTGACGCTTCACAACATAGAGCATCTCCATCATCTGAAGTGTTTGAGGTATTGCCTTGTGGATTGGGGTTTTTATTTAGACTCCAACAATCCTTCTTCAAGTGATCCTTCTTTCCACAGTTGTAACACTTTAAATTCTTCTTACTCCTCAACTTCGATCTACCATGTTTGTGACTGCTGCTTTGGCCACGTTATGTTGATCTCCCTCTCATCGTTGTCATCGTTGTCAATGCTTCTGCTTGTTGCAGATTTACTTGTCTGTCTTCCTTGTTCTTACGCTGATTTTTTTCTTGTAGAATAGCAGCTGCAACGTCATCGAAGACTAGACTGGTGACATTACTGTTTGTCAAGTTGATGATGAGTTGATCATACGAATCCGGTAGACATTGAAGTAGAAGTTCAACACGTTCTTATTCTCCTATTTTACAGTTTAAGGATGCAAGCTGAGAAAATAAAGTGTTCAGTGTATTTAAGTGCTCTGTCATGTAAGTAGATTCTGGCATATGGAGAGTGTACAATTTTCTCTTAAGGAAAATTTTTTTGTGCAGCGATGTGGCCTCGTACAGTTTGGTGATATTATATCATATCTTCTTAGCTTTCTTCTTCTCCTCGATGCTTGACAATACTTCATCTGCTAATGCTAGATGAAAGTTTGACATAGCATTCTCGTCTATCTCGATCCATTTGTTGTCATCTGTGAAATGTACTGACCTTTCACTGATAGCTGCTAGACAACCGTCTTTCCTCAGGATGATCTTCATCTTCAATTTCCACAATGAGAAATTTCTCCCATTGAATTTTTCAGTATCAAATTTCATTGTTATAGCTTCTATTACGGATAGGTTCCACTATTTCACTATCTTGAATAGTTCTCTGGAACTTTCAAAGAATGTGTAATACCTTCTTACTTTCTTATGTTGGAGGATTAACCTTTTGGTGGCAACCACAAAGACAATAAGCAGATATTACACACTCAAATCTGGCTCGGATACCAATTGTTGCGGAAGACGACTATCGAATAGAGAAAAATCACAACTGATAATTTGAGAAAATAAAAATGAAGATAAAAGAGATACAAAATTTACGTGAAAACCCCTAAATAATATAAAGTAAAAACCACGATCAACGGTAGAAGAATTTCACTATGAGAAAATATGAATTACAACTTCTCTCGATCTACCAAGGAGAAAACAATGATAATTCTCTCTTGATAAAAAAGAAAACAACTCTCAATAAACTCTCTGAATTCTCTAGTATTGGAAGAAACCTAGAATGTTTGGGATGATTTTGAAGCTAAATGGTTAAGGTATTTATAGTTGAAGCTTAATGACTAATCTTATAAATACCCTAAAGTACAATGACTAAATTTAAGATTTTACCATTTTCTTTTTCAACAAATTAATTGAAACTTTTGACAATTTGCACCGAATGAATTCTTTTGCCAACAACCCACGGAAAGTTGCTTTGAATTTGCAACAAAAGCTCCTGCATTTATATCCCACGCTCGCATTAAAAAGAGAGCTCTTTGATCATTAACCACCGCCACTGCCACTGCTCCCTTCAAATCAATGCTTAATTGTAGATTTTAGTTATAATTATACCCATTTGAGCTAGCAACTGACACTGCCAACTCATTACAGTCAGTATTTCTCTTCTCTTACTGCTTTGATTATAAAATATCTTGGGAGGAGAGCTTCAAGATCTTTAATGGAGTTTTGTCTGAAATCTCATTTTCACACTTTTGTACAGATTAAATACCCATATGGGGTCTGCAATGAACATAATTATTGAATTTCATTTATATGAACATGGGTAGAGAAGATCCATGGTATATCTTTCACTATTATCCACCTTGTCTATTTTTCATGGAGAAGACAAAAACTAATACTTTGACATGTTCCCAGTTACCTGATCATTTACATTAATACTCAATCGAAACCATTTAATTACATCATTCGGTAATTGAGTTGATAAAATTTGATAAATCATATGTTAAATGTCGTTGAGAGGGGGTCTCAATGTTAACATCGACGACATCGACATGACAGTGAAGTCAAGGGTCCAAGTACAAGGGTGTTCTTCCTATTGTGGTAACTGATTGGAAACAATAAGATTATAGGGCAAGTGCGATGGTGTTTCAGGTATTAAGCAAGTAGACGTGTTAGTTGTAAGAGTGGCGAATCCTGCTTGCCAAATTGATAATTTTGTCCTACTATTGCGAATCAAGTTACTCAATAATTAAGAAAAGTTGTTATCATCATAGATATCAATTTAGAGTACCAGATACTACAAGAGTGTGAATTTTCATTATTAATTATTGACAATATTTAAAACAAATACCTTATAATCATTCTATATTAATAATAAAAAAGTTAAATACTAAAATATTTGTTTGATCAAGTTATCGTAATTTTCTCAAAATACATGTATGTTAAGATGTATAATATCATTATTTTTAAATTTTAGGATCTCACAATGCCTTCTAAAGTTAGAAGTAAAGCCATTTCTCTAAAGTGTGATATTTTCATTCATCTCGTTATACCTTTTTCGTCACAGGTTATCTTCACAGTTATTCTTATTCACCTATCTGTCTCACTCATTAAAACGTCTAGCGTAAAATTAAATTTTTTTTAAATGATCATCATGATATCACTTATAAGAAAGTCATTAACCTCTTCCTAAAAAAACATATATGATAGGATATGTAAATTTATGTAAATTGAAATTTACAAAACTTATATATCATATAATTTTTTTATTTAATTGATATAAAAATTAATTTATTAAATGTCACGTTGTAAAATTATCACATAATAATTGATTAAGTTTCGAATTTGAGTTTACCCAATCATTTTAAACATTTTTTTCTATGAGTAGTTTTTTATCTTCCCTTCATAAAAAATATTTTTTAATAATATTTAAGTATATTAGTATTTTTAGCATTATATTATATGATAGTAAAATTGAATATTGAATATGTTTGAGTTTTCAATATCTTATGATATAATGTAAGAATTATATTTAAGGTTTGTTTAAATAATCACTCGTTTTTTTAAGTACTTTAATCCTCATTATTCCAATTTTGAATGAAAATTTATCGTTAAAATGTAATATTTTTATATGTTTAATTTTTGGCGTGATATTATCACATAATCACTTTTATTAATATAACATGTGTCATATCATTACTTTAATGATATAATATATTATGTCATATTTTATTAATAATTAAATATATGTATAAATATCACGAGAATACTAAACGTTGACAATTAATCATCACTAATTATTTTTATCAAAAAAAATCTTGTTTGAAATTAAAATATTAAAATTAAAATATTTTAAAAAATAGAAATTAAAGTAATTGTTTATAAAAAAATTATATAAATAAAGTAAAATTTAACATGTATATAAATATTATATTGAAATAATTTTTTATATGATATTTAGTATATTAGTTGGAGGTATTTTTTTACCTCAAATAAAACATTAAATGTCAAAATGGTCCACAAAAGTGAATCAAAATAACTATTTAATCAAAATAATTTTACAACTCTTTCTCTCATGTCACTATTAATTGGCCTTGGGACTTACAATTCTCAGAAACCTAAGCTTTAGAATAATGGAATCTCTCACTTATTTTTACTTTATAAGTAAAATACTAATCTTTTGGTTAAACCTATGCTCTATTAATTACATTGCCCATAACCTAATGATTTGTAGTGATTGGGTTGGTTTTACTTTGTATGTTGGAGAAGAAAGCAGCAAGGGAGAACAAATCTAACATTATATATATATATATATTGAAATATGTTAAGGCAGCTAAGAGTTGGTAATGGATGTCCATTAGGGCAAAAGGCAAAACCAGCAAAGCAATGCACGTTCAAGCGTCTCATTATGTCCATCTCTATACAACATTTTATTATATATTTGTTGTGCTGTATACATTGCATCCCTATCTATCGTACAAATCTTGAAATTTAAATCATATGTGTTAGCAGAAATCATGTTGATTTCTTTTATTTTCTTTTTTGTATTTAATATGTGGTATATAGTGTGGTGAACAGCTAAAGCCTATGACTGTGAGACGTGAATGGTGGAGAAAATTAGATGGAAATACGTCAGTTTCAAAGTCTGAGAGAACTAAATGAAATAATAACGCTTGCTTTTCGTGAATTTCATGCAAAGCATCATTCATTCATTCAATTCAATATAATATGATAATGGTAGACCTTTTATCCTTGTTAGTATAATTGTGTTTTAAGTTACTTATAATTACATGAATTGTGAAAAGAATTAGAACCTGAATAAGAATATAAGAGAATTTATTTATACAGTTTAAATTGATCGACAATTTTAACTTTGTAAAGGTTTGTTCAGGTAAATGTATTATAATATTTTAGGTACAAAAGACATGAATCTTCAATCTAAACCCATCTCAAAAGATGGATAGGCCTTTTGTTACTTTTTTTTTTAAACGAGATCCTTAAATATTTTATAATAAAGAATAAATTATCAAATTTAAAATTATGAAGGATCTACGAGGTCTTTTAACCAAAAGTCATCATAGAAAGAGATTAAAGATATTATCAAAATTTCCGTTTTCAAGTTTATCTGTCATTTTTCAGAAAACCAAACGAAAAGTTTGTTTTTCATTTAAGCAAAAATGTCGCTAGGACACAAAGGTTATATATGTAGGGACAGCCGCAAAATCTTATGTTAGAGGATGAATCTCTTAAATTTTAGAAGGGGATGGATGAATTTATAAAATTCTAGAGAGACGCAAATATATTTTAATAAAAATACATACAGAAAAATATAAAATATATAATAATTTTCAAATTCTACGAGGGGACTGCCCCCATCGTCCTCATCAGTCCACCCCTTTATACATGGACAAACCTGAATGAGTGGGTTTCCAAATTTAAGGGTCTAAACATAAAGGTTACCCAATAGTTTAATACTTCATCCCACAAACCCATTCCTATAAATGTTGGAGGGCTAGGCCCTGCCAATGAAATTTATTTGGACCACATGCATAGGCCCAAACCACAAATATTGAAAGCTCGGAGGAGACCGTAATCAACTTCTCAAAAAGCAATTACGGCGTCGTTTCTCCACGACCACTTATATAAATACAGTCTCAACAGTTTCAGGTTAAACAAACCCTAATCCCAGCTCTCCCAAATTTTCATTTACATTCAGAAAATCAAAAGAAGCCCTTTCCAATCTAAATCCTTCAATTTTCCGTCTTGGATTATTGATTTGAGGTTAGTAGCAGTGTTAAGCACTAAATAGCCCCTTGCTTCTTAGAGTTTTCAGTTGCAAGGAAAAAACGAGAAAAAGGTAGAGGTGCAAAATTGACGCTTTTTGGCTCCAACATCCAGTTTTTGGTTTGTAATTCATCTCACTAAAACAATGTTTGGTGCCAGAGAGATGGGTTTTTTTTCCCTGGCCTGAATAATTGCAAAGCAAAATGACGAAAACAGTTTAAAATCTGAATCTCCCGTGTGGGGAATCCCAATCTGGGTCTTCAAAGTTCTCTGATTGCTTTGCAAGATTATGTATTTTTGTTTAATTTGTTGTTTACAAAGGTGGGTTGGTATTTGTTCCATGTTTTTTGGGGTATGAAAGGCAAAATGAGAAGATTTTTTTAATGGCTGAATTTGATGTGGAATTCCTTTATCATTTAATGGTCTTCAATGTTCTCTGATTGCTTTCATACTTTAGATTTTTACTGTGTTATTCTCATAGCTAAAGAGTTGCTTCTTTTAACCTTTTGCCGCCCTTTTTATTGCATTTGGTCCAATGCAGTTTCATGTATGAGCAAAGGTTTGGGCACCAAAATTCATAGTCTGTTTTGTATGCAATATATCAGGCTATACGAGCATGGTGCGATAGAAATGTGTCTTCTTTATGTTCACTTTTAGCTGGACTTGCAAATTTCTAATGTCTGGTGCAGCAGAACTGGGAAGAACACATGCCTCTTGAGTCTTAACTTATATCCCTGATCTAAAAGTAACTCGATCTTTGTATGGCAATCCAACTTGCTTGTCTTAAAATGGGAAAACGAGCTCCAGTAATATATAACCTTCACTTCGAGATTTGAGTTAAGTAGAATTCGTCGAGTAGTTTTTACTGGTTTTTGAGAGGATTCATATGTGTATTTGTAACTGCAGTATGTAACTATGTATATATTATTAATTCTGAATAAATATTATATTGTAATTATTTATAGAGAAAATAATCTCAGTGACAAAAAATGTCTTATAGTATACGATTTTAATCAATTTTTGTTGGATTTGCCAAAATGACCAATTAAATCGCAATGCGATCGATAATTAGCAACGCGATCTCTGGTATCACAAATCAGTTTCCAGATTCGCAACGTGATTCTGACTATCGTATTGTGATTTTCCAAATTCGCATTGCGATTTTCCTAATTCGCATTGCGATTTACGTAATCGCATTGCGATTTACGTAATCGCATTGCGATTTTCCTAATTCGCATTACGATTTACGTAATCGCAATGTGATTTTCCTAATTCGTATTTCGATTTACGTAATCGCATACGATTTAGTAAATCGCATTGCGATTTAGTAAATCGCAACGAGATTCTGACTGTCGCAATATTGAATTTTAAATTCGCAACTCGATTTTTGAATTCACAACAGGTTTTAATTTCGCAACACAAATGTTTTGGGTATATAAATACGCAGCAGTAGCAACTCATAACCTAAATCTCTAAATCATAACTCATTCCATTCCCATCTATCACTCTCTCCGGCGACATCCGTTCATATATCCAACGACATCCTTCCCCATCCGGCAACAGGTTTTAGTTTCGCAGCTCGTTTGTTTAATAAATTAATTTACAATAATGAAATCATCTAATGTTGATCATGTTTGGATATATTTGTGTTTTGGAGGGTCATGGGAGAATGTTCATGGTGTTTTACAATATATGTATTTACCCATGAATCTTCAACTAAAACTGTCATTAAAAAAGTTAACTTATGAAACTCTAATGTTACCTGTTGCAAATAATTTGAATTTAGAGCCCCTAAGTGGATTTAAGCTATCTTATCAGAGAAATGGTAAAGTTTATTTGTTAACCGACAATGAAGATGTTGAACGTTTCATTGCTTACATTAGTGTTTCAAGTGATGATGTTACATTGTATGTTGTTGAACCTAGAAGTAGTGAAGTTGGGTCAGTAGCCGGTAGTAATCAACTAAGTTTTTCAACCCCAATTTATGGTGCTCAAAATTTAATGGTTCCACCACAATTTCATCACCAATCAAATATTGTTTCACCACATTTCCAATACCAAACACAATCTCAAAACCCACAACATTTCCCTAATCCAAATCCCAATAAACTTTCAGCACCAAATTCCGATTTTCGTATTGACCAGTTAGACGATGATGAGCCAACAAAAAAAATTGTGAGTACTAGTCAGTATTCGAAATTTGATCTTGGTCAATACCCGGACTTTGATCTTGGTCAATACTCGGATTTTGATGATTTTTCAGAAGAAGAAACAGACCCTGCGTGTATGATTTGATATTGGTCAATACCCGAATTTTGATGATGAAACAGCCGTTGCCAAGGAAGATGTTGTTGATGATAATGAGGAGGAAGTTACGACTGTAAATGAACATGTTGAACATCCATTCTGTAATTCATATAACACTGAAGAAGAAAAGAAGAAGAAAAAATCCCCAAAGAAAAGTCCCCGAAGAAAATGCCACGGGAGTATAACTGGAATATGCCAGAATTACTTCAGATACCAAGAAGAGTTGGTAAAGATAGCAGTTGATTGTCACACAAAATTATTCGTATCAAGAAAGATGATTTTTGATACAAAGACTTGAAGATAGCTTTGTATACGAAATGTGTGGAAGATGGCTATCAACTAAAGTTAACAAATCAAGCAAGATCGTTTCGAAACAAGGTGTATGATTGACAAAAATTGTATGTGGCGTATGATTGCAAAGAGGATAAAGATTGCGAAATGTTTCAAGTTAGGACTTTTATTGATAAACATACATTTCAAGAACCCAAGTTTTTTCACCATAGACAGGTAAACAAAAAGGTGTTGGGTGGTTTCTGGCTGAGTTAATGTTTTTGAATGGTAGGGTATATCGGGGACATGAAATTATGACTGACATAATGCTCGGTTCAGATTAGTATCTCATATTCTCAAGCTTGAGAGCCAAATGTTATGCCTTGGAATTGTTGAGGGGGTCGCCAGAAGCATCGTTTGCCCAACTGTCGGCTTATTGTCACAATTTAAAGCTGAAAAATCATGGGTCGGTAACTCATATCAAAACAGATAGAGATGGACGCTTTGAGTTGTTGTTTATCGTCATTGGTGCTGCGGTTAGTAAATCAATATAATTTTGTTGACTCATTTTTGTTAGTTACATGCATTTAACATTTAAATGATTATATTTCTTGTATATGATTTTGTAGATTCGTTCGTTATTAATTGCATGTGCCCAGTTATTATAGTTGACGGAGCACATTAAAAGGTCGATACCTTGGAGTAAACTTATTAGCAGTAGCCATGGATGCTAACAATAGGATATTGCCAATAGCTTACAGGGTTGGAAAATCTGAAACCTCTGATTCATGGACATGGTTTATGGGGCATCTTAGGGATTGCATTGGTCCATTAGCAATCTGACAATCATATCCGATAGGGCAAACTCAATTGACAACGCTGTTAGAAGGTGTTTCCCAGACTTTTCATGGACTTTGTGGTGTCATTTGTATAGAAATCTAAAATCAAGGTCTGCTGGTATAAAATCACAAATGGACATACTGGAAGGCTGTAAAAGCTTATCGGGAAGTGGATTTTAATAAGCATATAAAGTGTTTAAGACGTGTTTGCCTCAGTGTGCTCAAACACTAAAAGATGTCGGGTTTGAAGATGGTCAAGAGTACATCAACTTGGAGCTATGGGTCATGACGTCTAATAGTGCAGAATCAATCAAACGCTCTAAGTCGTCATTCACGGAAATTACCCATTACTATGTTAATGGAGTTTTTTCGAGCCTCTATTCAACAGTGGTACTACAAGAAAAGAAACCATGCAGGTATTATTTCTTTAAATTCGTAACTTATCATATATTTTACTAAGTATTATTTATTTAAATTTACAGGAACATTGGAACATCGGTGTTACACCATGGACAGAAAAAGATAACGAAACGTGTTGTGAAGTCACTGTCATGGAGAGTTGAACCATGTTCAAAACACTTTGTTTGAAGTATGGATATAACTTAAATGGGCTTGTCGATCTAAATGCAAAGACGTGTAGTTGTATGAAATGGCAAACATCTGGTTATCCGTGTGGCCATGTTATAAAAGTTTCTCTTTATCTAAACCAAGATGATTCAAGCGCATACGCTATGGATTGCTACACTACAGAAGTATATCGACAGACTTATGGCGAGATTGTCTACCCTATTCCACATCCTTCTGAGTGGGACATACCAGATGACTTACAAACAATTTTGCCACCAGCTATGGACAGAAGGCTACCTGGCCGACCAAAAAGTCACGATCGTATACCGTCTAAGGGTGAAGAGAAGAAGAGATCGACATGTAGTCGGTGCAAGGAAAGTGGTCATACAAGGTTGACATGTGGATCACCAGTGCCATCACAATCATCTTTTCCTCTACCAAAATATGGATCCTCATCAAAATCCAAAGCTCATATGGTGTCAAGCAAAAGGCAATCAAAATCGCAATCATCTTTAAAATCCCAATCACAACCGACTTCACCTTTTGGGACTGTTAACTTAGGTGATTTTTAAATGCAAACGTTGTATTATGTGGATTTTATGTGTGAACTTTTAACATTTTCAGTTAGGCATGTATTAGTAACTTGAGTTTGTAAATTGCTATGATCTGTTTAGTTGTTATCACTTATTAGACATTCATTTGACTATCGCAACACGGAAATGGCGTTCGCAATCATCTTAATGTCTATCGCAACGCGGAAATGACTATCGCAATGTGAAATGAAAATCGCAATGAGAGAATCGCAATGCGAAATGAAAATTGCAACGAGAGAATCGCAATGCGAAATGAAAATCGCAACGAGGGAATCACAAAGCGAAATGAAAATCGCAACGCGAATGTAGTTTCGCGTTGCGATTTTAGTTTCGCGTTACGATTTTGTTGTTGCGATTTTCATTTCGCGTTGCGATTATCTCGTTGTGATTTTCATTTCGCATTACGATAGTCATTTTTGCCTTCAACATAATGCAGATTGAAATCAATAAAATCAACCATTACATTTCAATCAATTAAACAAGCACAATAAGAATTATGTTCACATCAATTAAACAAATCAACTTTTACAAATCATCTTTTCAAATCAATTAAACAATCAAAAAATAAGCAATAATTCTTATTTCCTCATCTACTATGAATAAACTTTTGCAGTCATACATCATTTTTCACGCAGCTCACTTCTGAGATTAACCTGCAAAACCAAACATTTGCTCAAACAACACTTTCTACACATCTAAAACTACAAACAACAAATTATTGAATTCTAGGTACTTAACCAAACATTTCAAACCAAAAGCCTATAAACTTACCAATTGTTTATAGACATTTTTATAGTGCGGATGCAGGTAGGCAACGTCTCGTATATATCGATCTAGCCATATAATGCCGAAACCACAAGCTTACTGCAGCTCTATCTCTATCGGTGGGAGGTAGATACTTTATACTTCCTGTGATCAAACGCTCCAACGCCAAGCATACGAGAGGACCCACAATCCCCTCTGGGTCCTTTCGTTTGTTGTTGTGCGGTCTCGTCTCTGCTAACTGTAATATTGAGCTTCTTTGGCTTCTTGTTCCAGAACGAGTCCAATATTATCGCATCAAGAATTTAGCCAAATGAGAGCTCCATCCCTTAATAATATCTCTTAAATCAGCCAATGATATGTAATTTATCATGCTGTCATATACTATTGCCTTAAGGGATGGGAGCTAAAGCTCGCGAGAAGCCATGTTTACGTTCCAAAACAGGGATAAACACCTGCAATCATAAGTAATAATCATTCATTTGCGAAGTTATTTATGAATACCGTTAAACTCAATCTAATAATACTAACCTTATCGACCTCCCACCATGCAGGATAAAGTTTAGCTTGTCCATTGCCCAACGCAAATGATTCATCTCGTTGATTCTTCAAGTGAATGGCGTTAAAAGACGTCGGCATAATTGTATATCGTGTATTTCTTTTATTTTCCTTAATTTTCCTAATTATTAGAAGACGTGACACCCACGCATCGATATGATGTTTTACAAAAAAAAAACATATATTAGTAACTTACATAAATTTAAAAAAAAATAATCAAATTGAAATATAAGAAAAATATAAGACTTACCCCATCGAAATAGCCATTGTCTTCGACCCTAATAATACGCCCCACCAAGACCGATCAAGCAACAATATATCATCGTTGAGCTTGCATATGTCAGTGAAACACCCCTGGATCCGCTCATGTAGATAAAAATCAACTGCGGTCTTAGCCCAAAGGTGTTATCCAGAATTGTGTCGGTAGTTGTCTCCTCTCCACTTCAGATACCGGTATTGTACTGCCGGTAACTCATACGAGAGCCAACTCTCATCTATCATGTCCGACACGTCAGAGGGTTTCTCAAGATCTTACATATGACGCATGTGAATCGGGCTCTTGAATGGTGGGAGGGACCTCTTCAACGATGACAGTGGCCTCTTGAACGGTGGGAGGGACTCTCAAGGAATGATAGGGGCCTCTTCAACGATAGGAGTGGACTCTTGAGGGATGACAGGCGAGTCGGGCTTCTTCTTGCGGTGTCTTCGCACTATTGAGGTGTACAGAGACTTAATAGCACGTGCACGCCGTTTGATGCGTGAACTCTGTCGTGCAAGAAAAACCCGACGTAAAGCATCCACCTTATCGGGCCGCTAAATAATTAAATACAAAAATCAGTAAATAAACAGACATGATATTTAAACAGTGAAAACAAGGACAAATATGTTTCAAACTTGCATGAATTCACCCAAGTCATTATTCTATCATAGTTCACAAAATGCATCAAAAACAAAGGCAAATATGTTTTCAAACTTGCAACACTGCACACTTAGTTTATCTTTGTCTATTGGTTGAAGTAATGCAATTCATTCAAGTTTCAATTTGCAAAAGAAGAATAGTTTCTGGAACTTAAAATCGCAACGTGAAAAATGACTATCGCAACGCGAAATGAAAATCGCAACGAGAGAATGAAAATCGCAACGTGAAATAAAAATCGCAACGAGAGAATCGCAATGCGAAATTAAAATCGCAACGCGATTATAGTTTCGCGCTGCGATTTTTGGTTTCGCGTTGCGATTTTTATTTCGCGTTGCGATTTTCGTTTCGCGTTGCGATTTTCATTCTCTCGTTGCGATTTTCATTTCAACCAAAAGAAAAACAGTGTTACTAAAATATAGTTTCAAGAATAAACTATTTCTTCTTCTTCTGCAAATTGAAACTTGAATGGATTGCATTACTTCAACCAAAAGACAAAACAAAGACAAATAGTAACTTCAGTATTAAAGAATACACAGTTAGCAGAATTGGCAGCAAATGACAAATTTACTTTCAACCAAAGACAAAACAAAGACAAATACTAACTTCACAGTGTTAAAGAATACAGTTTAGCAGAATTGGCAGCAACCGAAAAATTTACTTTCAACCAAAAGACAAAACAAAGACAAATACTAACTTCACAGTGTTAAAGATACACAGTTTAGCAGAATTGGCAGCAACCGAATAAATTTACTTCAACCAAAGACAAAACAAAAGACAAATACTAACTTCACAGTGTTAATAACAGTTTAGCAGTATTGGCAGCAACCGAATAAATTTACTAAGCAATCTAAGTGAAATGGTTAATCTAAGTGAAATTACGAGTAAATTTATCATCAAGTTAAATATGGAAAATCTTAAACTTACGTCGTTGCGTAGAGTATGAACCTCATTCTGCAACGATACTACCATCTCACTAGAGCGGCAACCTCACCACGTAAAGTAGACACCTCCACACGCATGCACCATCGTTATCGCGAGAGTATCGATCTCCTCACGCAAGGCATTGACCTCATCACGTAACTCCCTTGACTCATCCCATGGAGGTGGAGAACAGGGAGATAGAAGTCGTGGCATCTTTGCCAGTCGCCTATCATGAGGTGATGGTGGAGAAGAGGCTCGATGATGTACGGGATAGGTGATGGCTCTCGTTGTAGAGGTGTATAGTCGGGCGATCAGGTGATGGCTCTGGGTGAGGTGATGACTCTCGAAGTGGAGGAAGTGAGGCTGCTCATCATTCGTGCAATCAAGAAAACGCTGACTAGCTGCCACCAATCAGTGGCAAGCTCAGCTTCCGTGGGTGTCAGTCTCATTAATGGAGTGTTGGCCTCCTAAAAATATAAACTCAAACAAAGTTAAACGTCTACTATTAATAACTTGTTTATATATGATAGTATTTGTGTTAAACATATTTATTGTCGCATATGGTATTAAGTCTTCCCAATCCAACAGACGTTTCCTCTTCCAGGAAATAGCCCTAGGAATATCATTTGAAGTTTTAATGCATATGTCCGCATGCTGGGGAAAGCCTCGAATATCCCATCTAAACAATATAATAACAAACATTAGTAATTGTTAAATAATTAATTATAATTTTGAAAACATTATATAGAAATTCTTATCTTAAAGGCCCAAACAAAGCCTGACAAAGTGTATTTCGACCCATCGCCACGCAAAACTTTTGCGGTCATCAAAGGCAGACGACAACTTAGTCCAGGTACTTTCCATATATACGAACCCCCAGAAACAGATTCCATGCATTTAGATTCTACCAATAATATTAGCTCCTGAGGAATAGGTTGTCTGACCTCTCTGCCTAAAAAGCCGCATACAAAAGTAGTAGAAGGCATACTCGGACAACATCGACGTCATTCATCCGAGTAAAACCATCTTTCTTATTAAACAATTTCTTCAGATCGTCGACGTGTAAGTTCGGCTTCTCTATTGACTCATCAGGAAAAACCCTGGATAACCATGATAGGCGAGTGATATGACGAGAGTACGGCCTACATCATCATGTCGGAATTGTAGACCAGTGATTAAGCAGAACTCCTTCCGCCCAAAACAGTATACGCCGGTGGAAAATGAAACCATATCTCTTCCTCACCACGTTGTATACTGTCGGGTAGATCGCTAGTCATGGTCTGAAGCCACAAATGGGTCAAATTAGCATCTCACCCGATGATGCTGTACTCTCAGCCATGGCCCGAAGCAGGTTTCCTCAAACAATTTCTTGTGCAGGTGAAAGCTTCGAAGCAATTGTAGTAGCTAGGCTAACTTTATTCCTTAATGTCAATGAAGCCGAAAAAAATTTCTACAAAAAACAATAAACATACCAAGTTAGATATACCAAAAACTACACTGTGAAGATATACCAAAAACAATAAACATAATAGTAGTTTATTCTTGAAACTAAAATTTGCAAACACTGTTTGTCTTTTGGTTGAAATGAAAATCGCAACGAGAGAATGAAAATCGCAATGCGGAAATGACTATCGCAACGAGAGAATCGCAACGCGAAACCAAAATCGCAATTCTCGTTGCGATAGTCATTTCTGCGTTGCGATTTTCATTCTCGAAACTATTCTTCTTCTGCATTACTTCAACCAAAAGACAAAACAAAGATAAATATTAACTTCACAGGGTTAAAGACGAAACAGTTTAGCAGTATTGGCAGCAATCGAATGAATTTAATAAGAAATCTAAGTGAAATGGTTAATCTATTATTGAAA